TTAAAGATACATATGTACAAGATACAGATAAGCCTCTTTGCATACAATTGTATCTCAACTTCATGCTAGTATCTATAGCTCCATTTGCATTTCGGCAATTGTGGATACAACAAAACCTAACTCAGCATCAAAAGCATAAAAAGTGTATCTCAAAGATACACATTGTATCTCAACTTCTCTCTAAAGTCGCTAACGCATTTTTAACTAGAGTTCAGTCTGACCAATTGCTTAAATTCTTTGCTTTACCTAATCTTTGGGGTTTTCGAACGTCCACTGGAATCTCAAATCGAATGCTAAATATTCATGAACAGGCGCGCAATTAAAACGTCGTCGTTGTAGTCGTCGTAGTCGTCGTCGTCGTCGTCGACGTCGGCGTCCGCGTCGACGTAATTGTTTTTGTGTACACGCGCCTAAAAATAACCAACACGTAAATATTGTCTAGATATACAAACGGACGAGTACTATATATCCGCTGTGTATATACATATGTATCTATAGATGTATATACATATATATGCATAGGTATTTGGTTAGTGTATGCGTATTCGTATAGCAGCAAAAGGCATTTTTGGCTGTTGACTGCGAAGCATAAAAGTGAAATTGACCAGAAAAACAAGCGGACAGCCAAAGAAACGAAAGCCATAAAAAATTGAACACAAATCTGAGAAAAGTTTACATTACTCTCGTTGAGCAAATGAATGAGGGTGTATAGGTTGAAAAAGTGTATTGAAGTGATATCATTTATAAGGTTTTCAACACTCATCAGTTTATAGAATTTCAAAACATTTCTCATTACCAATCAGAAATTTATTTACCTTTTTCAACACTGTATAAAGGCAACAGTTTACCATCTTTTACAACCTTATTTGCTGTTCAACTTTTTTCTAAACTTTCTCTTGGAATATATTATATTGCTGAGCTCTTTTTTTACAGGGTAACTTACGATCGACTAACTAAATTTTCTCTTACTTTCTTGGCTTGTTTGCTGCTGCTGATTTGGTATTTTGGACATTTGAATTGGCATTGGAATTGGCCAGTGCCAACGCTGCTCTCTGTGCGTTGATTGGCCAAAGTCAATGGCACACACACACACACAGTCAAGTAGCTGTCTATGTATCTGTGCGTGTGTATTCGCCTGGAAATTGTCAACTCGACTTTCGAGCCTTTTTTTGCTGTTGTTGTTGGTGCAGAACCCAAAAAGCAAACAAAACAAAAGTCGAAAACAAAATTGAAGCCCATTAGTAGCGCTCGAGTGGTTAAGCATGTCTAAGGAGTTTTTGCAATATATATATACATATATACATGTATATATGTATTTTATAATTCTCAGCGCCCGAGTTTCAATTCAAAAAGTATAAACTTGGCCCTAAACTTATTTGCTGTTTATTGTGGTTTTTTCTTTCTTGTTGCCTGTTTTGGGCTTTCTTTTGATTTTGTTTTTTTATTTTGTTATAGGCTTGCCTTGGCGTCCTTGCTGCATAGCCTTGCCTTCATGGACGCGCGCTAACAAAGCGCGAACTGCGAGAGGTCCTTGCCGGCGCTGCCACCCTGAGATGCCCAACTGGGCTTGAGCCCGTGCCTGGGTCTGCGCCTCGTCCTGGGCCTGTCCTGGCCTGGGCCCAAGTGCTGTTTTGCATTTAATTACGCTTAAAAATTAATTAATTTCTTTTTTGTGGCTACGTGGAGTGACTTGAGACATAATCAAGCTGCCTCTGCCTCTGCCTCTGCCACTGCCACTGCCACGACCTCTACTACGGCCTGGTGCCGCTGTCGACGCCTTAAAGTATGCTACATTGCGGCCACTTTTATCACTCAGTCTACATCCTTGTACCTTGATGGCGTCTGGCTGGCATATGGATGCGGGCCGGAGCGGGACCGATGCGGTTGCTGCGCACTTGGGTCTTAAATAATTCAAGAAACGCGGTTTTCCTACCAGCCAACAACAACAACAACAACGGCAAACAGCAAACAACAAATAACAACTACAACAAATAAGAGCCACAACAACAACAACAACAAACTCAACACTGCGCACCTTTAAATGCCAAGGATAAGCGCGTGGTCTTGTTTAATGCGGATTTCTTTGCCTGCCTTAGGCCATATACATTTATAAGCTCTCGCTTCCATTGTTACAACAAAAATAAACACAAATACCGAAAACAAAATTTAATCGAAAGAAAATATGAAAATTCTCTAAGATTTATTTAGCTTTGATATTTAATATATATATTTAAATTTAAGAAAAATATATGGGTATAGTTAACAAATTAAAAAAAAATATATATATTTAACTTTGTCATTACTTATTTATATTAATGACCTTATTTGACACTATTTTTACTTGCCCAAGATTGTTGAATAATTTTAGTCTCACCTGCAAGAGAAACACAGGAAAATGTATGGATTAGTTAATATAAAAGAAAAGATAGGAAATATCTCAAAAAATTGCAATTAAAATCTCTATTTGTATTACTATTAATATCAATTTGATTTTCATTTCAATTTTAATTATATTAAATAAGCCTTATCTAGTTTATGGGACTCAAAGAGCTTAATGCTTATTCCATAAATATGTGCGATTTTCTAAACATTCCTAATTAACCAAATTGTGATCAGCAAACTATTCATTGTTTTCAAATTTCAATTCAATTTGTTTTGATACGAATTCCAATTCATTTTCTGCTTTGACTAATTGGCTTGCTTTAGGCATTGCTTCGTGGTAAAATGCTAATTAGAACTAATTGGATTCCAGTTGCTTTGTAGTCCTGTTTATGTGTATTTATGATTTAATTCCATTTCCAATTGATTGAAATTACGTTTGTTTCATATTATATCTCAAAAATCTCAAATTTTGCTGTACATTTAGTTAATTAAGTATATTTGTGTAACAATTGCAAATACAAGCAGCAAATGAACTCAAGACCACGCGCATTCCAATTGGATTTGTTGCCATTGAAAATGTTGTTGGAATCGTTGCTGTTGCTTTGTTGTTGTACCTGACAGAAAACAGAAACCGAAACTACACAGAGCAGGAATGAAAACGAAAACAACTTGTTGGAAATTGATCAAATGTGCATTTTGCCAAAAACAAATTTTAATAGCTCAACACGCGGCGCTGCCATAAGGCTAGAAATTAGCTGCAGCGGCAACAACAATGACGACAACAACTGTAAATAAAAGCAAACAGCAACAACAGAGAACAACCGCAACAACAACAATCTTTGACTCAATTTGTGTATTTGAAGGTCAACGGGAGGTGGTTGCTGCTGCTACTGTCTCTGACAGTACCGTTACTTTGAGTGCACTAGAAGCAACCGAGAAAGCGGCCTAACAAAGCTGAGAGAGCAGGCTGGAAAGATAGCGAGCAAGTAGTTTAGCTAGGCAGTGAGAGGGGAAGAGATAGAAGGAGAGCGTGAGACTGAGAGTGAGAGTGAGAGTGGGAGAGCAGCGGCTGCACTGTGCAGCTCACTTATTGGATTTTCGCTTACGTTTCACCCGCTCTTTCTCCCTTTCATCACATGTGCTATGCAGCATAAAAATCATTGGGTCGAAAGAAATTTTGTTTACTGCACTTTATTGTGCTGCTGTTGTTGTTATTTCTTATTGGAATTCGTTTATTTTTCGGTCTATCAAGTAGTTGAAGAAGCAAATTCTTGTTGCATATTTTATAAATGCAATGCGAATATAAGAAAAAAACAAATAATAATCAAAATAAAAAGTGAAAACGAATGCTGAAAGCATTTATATACATATATTGCAATGTTGGTATTGCGCATTCGTAATATGCATTGTATATTACGTATGTATGTATATGTAATATAAATCAATTTACAACTTTATTCGCATAGCTTTATTTATGGCTCTATAAAGCTTTTGTAAATACAAATAAAATCATATATATAAATTCTGATAAAGCTATAATTACAATAATTAAATTTTGATATTTTTAGCACCACAGTTCTGGATATTAAACAAATAAAAACGTGTTTCGATTACATAAATACATTAATAATGTTTACATTCCAATTTAAATCGTCCCCAAAAAGACACACACATGAAACAGGCCAGCATACGCACACACACGCACATTCATAAAAGTATGCTCATATGAACCTTAAATGCCTTTGGGCTCAGCTCTGGCGTCACTAAAATTAAAAGCGTCCTCATATGTAATGTAAAAAATAAGTACAAAACACCGAAGAAAACGAAATTCGAGCTTCGCCGCTGGTCAAGCACTAAAAAAAAACCTTACACACACACACACATACACAAATGGCAATAAAAATAAAGCATTTCGCTTGTCTCTCATTCGCTTTGATATGAACTCTAATATCATTGAAATTATAATTATGTGTATTTTATGTGGGAATGCCGAGCGAGCGAGACAGCAACAGGCCCAGGGCAGCAAGGCAGCTAAAAGCTTATATGTGTATATATCGGATATATATGTATATATATGTGAGTATACATATATCAAATCCACCTGGGAACCATGCTGTTTGCACGGTCGGCCTGTCACGCCCACAAGATATTCATTTGAAGCCAAAATGGAGAAGAGAAAAAAAAACTGTTGCCATTGACCGTTGGCTGTTGGTTGACCCTTAACCGAAATCCCAGCCCCGCCGCCACCCACTCGCACACAGTCCCTCCCCCGTTGTCCAGGTGCGTGGCAATTTGTTATTTATGCTGCGTTCACGTGTTGATTGCTTATATATGCAAATCGAATAGAATTTTGTTTATATGTTTGTATCTAGGCATCTGCGCCTTTTGCGTATCGATCCAGCTACAATTTATGCCCCTTCATCGCCAGCCCCAAAAACTTATGGCTATTGCCCACATTATACAACAGCCCAGAGACTAAATATATATTTACCATGGATTCATCTAAATTTATACACATATATATATTTGGGTTTATTTGTTTTGATTTAATCGTTTAATATTTGTTGCCTCAACAAAATTTTTAAATTGAATTCCATAAAAATCGATCCATTAACTAAAAAACAAAACAATTAAAAGTTTTATTGATGGAATTCGTTGCAGGTGAAATTTTTATGAAGTAATGAAATATATACATAAATTCTTATTATGAGATTTGTATATGTTTCTCATAGAATTTTTATTACCTTTGTCTTAAGCATTGCTATTAACAAATTTAATTTATTAACAAATAGATGAACATTTACAAAATGGTATAAAAAAAAGTATTTTTTTATTATATAGTTCCTTAATATATAATATATAAATAATTTGGAGTATAGAATCAATTTTTAACGTTTTCAATTTTTTATTTTTTTTATTGTTAGTAATACACATACGAATATTTTATAATACATATATGCAATTTTTTTTTTTTCTTGATGTTAAAAAATAAAATACATATATCAACTAAGTGAAATTCCCGCACAAATATTTAGCCTCTTTTTTAAATTTCCTTTTGTTATTTCCTTTGTTAATGAAAGTACCATTTGTTTCAAGCAAATAGTGTGAAACAATGTGGCTAGAGCGAAGAGGCAGAAAAAAGAGACGTTTGCCCATCTTGAAAGTGGGGAATTGCATATTTGAATCTCAGCTGAGGCCACTCGATTCAATTAATTTCAGCTGGCAAACAATGAAGGCCGCTTGCCTAATTGCCAGCATGGCCAAATGTAATCAAGTTCCAAGAGGCAGAGAAGTGACTGGGGGAGAGAGAGAAAGAGAGAGAGGAGCGTAGAGAGACAGGGACAGATAGAGAGGGGCAAGAGCAACAACATTGGCAGCTAAAACAAAAACATCAGCAATGGATTTACATTTACTTGGCTCAACACAGTTAAACACTCAATAGCAACAACATACAAACAGACAAACACACATACATACATGCACACACACACACACAATTGCATCAATTATATGGCCACTAATTTGTCTACATTTGGGTAGCTAAATAATTGCAGATAGCGAGAGGGCGAGGCGCTGAGGTCGAGCCAACAGCAGCAATCAAAATCCAACACACACACACACATGCACACAAATATTTGCATTGAGTGCGCTGTCAAGTGAAAGGAAAGAGAGAGAGAGGGAGAGGGAGCGAGTGGCAACTGGGGGCGTCAACGTTGTTTAATCGAATTATGCAAAGGCAACGTCAACGACAACGACAACGACAACATCTGTGCACACACCGACTGCACATAACGGGATTAACATATTCGATAAATGTATCTGTGTATCTATAGCTGTGCATCTGCATCTATAAATGTATCTGTGGCAATAGCTGCTGATGCTTTTAATTAAAATGTGCATACAAAATCCACAGCAGGCACCAGGCATCAGGCATCGGAGCAGGCTATACAAATTTTATCACAGTCACACACACAGACGCACACACACTACGTTAATGCACAACAACAACAATCTCCCAAGTAAAATTTCCTGAATTACACACACACACCCATTTCGCTCACTCTCAATTCGAAATACACAAAAATACAAAAATAATCAACAAAACTCAGAAAATGTCGTCGTCGTTGATTGCCCTCTCGATTCTGGCTCTGGCTTTGATGCAGCAAAGCGCATACGCCGCCGAAGCGGAAGCACACCATGACATACTCAAGCATGAGGGTTAGCCCAGACATTAGTCACATCCATATACATATATATTATATATAAATTGGAATATATCTTTCAGAATATCCCGGTAAGTGTGTTATTCACTCGCCAAACGGCGAACTCAAGGTGTTCAACAGCGATGAGACCGTTCGGTATCCTGGCAAATGCTCCGAGGTCTATTGTGGCCGCAACAGTTGGGCCCTGATCTATACGTAAGTATCCTCTACATTTACACAATTCACACTAATCTAGTTATCTGAATTTTTAATTCCGCACAGTTGCCCCAAGGAGTATCCGCCAACGGATTGCGTATTTGGAGATTATGTTGATATAGATGCTCCCTATCCGGACTGCTGTCCACGCCATGTTGACTGCAACTCAATCGATTCTAATTATTAATTCCTGTTTGATATTTTGGCTCAGTTTCAGATTGTTTTGAAAGAAAAAATTCTACGTCGTTAGTTAAAATCAATAAAGATACAAAAATTGTTGTAGTAAA